TTTCACTTTATTACACATAATGTAATTTTTAACTTCTTTGTTTTAGTTTCAATGTATCTATGGATTGCATGGCCTTCTACCGACATGTGGTGAAAATTTCACGTCAATAGCGCCTTTAAAGATATATTTACAGAGGAAAAAATGGTGACGTGTTCAGTACTTATTTTACCCACTGAGAGCTTGTGGGCTTCTCATTCCAAAACCATGGCCGTTATTTATGGAGTTGGCCCCCTTCATGGCTATAACATCCTCCACCCTTCTGGGAGGTCTTTCCACAAGATTTTGGAATAGGTCTGTGGGAATTTGTGCCCATTTGTGAAATCGAGTGCCAACGATGGATGAGAAGACCTGGCTCATAATCAGCATTCCAGTTCATCAAGGTGTTCAGCAGGTTCGAGGTCAGGGGCTATGTAGGGGACACTCCAGTTCCTCCACACCAAGTCTTGATGGAGCTGGCTTTGTACATGGGCACAGTCATGCTGGAACAGGAAAGAACCTTCGCCAAACTGTTATCACACGTTAAAAGGTTGCAAGTGTATAAAATGTATTTCTTTGTCTATGTTGTAGCATGAGCAGTGCCCTTCACTAGAAACACCTGAACTCAGTCATTTGGATGGGGCGGGGGGGGGGGGGGTCCTCATATTTTTGGCTGTATAGTATACAAACTCTGTACTCGATACTGGTGTACCTCGGTTTATGAATGTAATGCGTTCTGCGGGACTTTTCGTATTGTGAAAAATTCATACACTGAAACAGGGACACTATATAAAAAAATATGTAAATGCATTGAAAACCAATTAATCCGTTCCAAAGGTCAGAAAAAAGTAAAAAAAAGTTTTATCTGTTCAAAACTCTTTATAAAGTGCACTTTAAAGGCATAAATACTGTACAGGAACATGATTAAGAAAAAATAATTTGTAAATACGCTAATCTCCATGGCGGCGGGAGCAGACATGTGTTAGGAGGCTCCTGCGCTCCTAGCCCCAATCCGCTGCCATCCGGCCCGCAGCGGACCCCAGCGGGGGCCCTAAGACACTCCCGGCCCAGCCCGACCACCAGGGTAAGCTTCTGGACCTTTTCCCGGAGCTCCGGGAATCGCGGCCTACCCGCGCACCTGAAGCCGGGGCCTCAATTTTTGCCGCGACCGGACCGCATCGCCGGACATCCGCCCGGACCGTCTCCGCTCTGATCACCAGGTACCACCGACCTGCCTGCCCAGGGCCCCCCATCAGCCCTGGGTCCTCATTGACTACCCTGGACCACCAGGAACAGCAAGCAAGGACCACCAAGCTGACAGCAGCCCAGGACCACCCCAGGATACCTGCACGGCAGCACCACCAGAACGGGTAAGCTGCCACCACCGATCCCCACAGACCTGCCAGCCTTCGCAGGGCCCTCCCCACTAGCCCTGTGTCCATCCCTGACCACCAGGAATCAGCTCAGGCCCACTGATCGCTGCTCCGCTGCCCAACCCATACATCGGTTCTGGGCCCACCCCTGTACACCCTGCACCCAGCTACCGGGCACCCAGCTACCGCCCCTGGACACCCACCACCCAGCTACCGGGCACCCAGCTACCACCCAGCTACCGGGCACCCAGCTACCACCCCTGGACACCCAGCTACCGGGCACCCAGCTACCACCCCTGGACACCCAGCACCCAGCTACCGGGCACCCAGCTACCACCCCTGGACACCCAGCACCCAGCTACCGGGCACCCAGCTACCACCTCTGGACACCCAACACCCGGACCACCCAGCGAATCAAGACGTCGCCCAGCGAATCTCCCGGACCACCCAGCGAATCTCCAGCCACCCACCAACATCACCAGACGCTGTGCCTACCAACACCCCCAGACATCGCACCCTACGACCCCTCCACTCGCCGATCCACCGGACCCACTGAAGACCCCTCGGACGCCAGCATACTGCACTCACAGATTGCAGCTACAGAAGGACTCTAGTGGACTCCTCCACGGTGATACAGACTCTCCACATCACCTCGCCCTGACCCATATCCCTTCACCTCCCCCGACCCGAACAGCACTGCACTCACCCCAGCATGCCACCTGCACTTCTCCTCCTCGTCTTCCTCTCCTCCATCCCAAAAATCGCCTCCCTCTACCCGCCCACCCCCCAAAAACAGCTTTACATTGCCTCCCTTCACTTCTGCCCTCTCCCCACTACGGCACTCACCACCTCCTCCTGGTACTCCACTCCCCCGGTAGTAAGACACACGTGCCACCACTACCAGACCCACACGCTCCTACACCTCCCATTCCCATTGCGCCACCCTCCTCACCCTTCTCCTTCTCCTATCCGCCGGGGACATCTCCCCGAACCCTGGCCCCTCACCACCTCTCCCCCCTCCCCAGCCAGGGACCCCCCTGCCCCCGCCAGCCGCCGCAACCCCCTCAAAGAATCAGAAAAGGTCCCTCCTCCCCGGGGATCCATCCCCCCTCTCTCGGTTGCACGGAAATTCTGAACGCACGCAGTTGCGGTTTCAGCACACACTGAACTGCCAATATGTACCTCTTGATCTCCCTGCTAATGTTTTGAACCTTTGTAGCCATCACCGAAACCTGGGTACAGGCCAACAATGGACTATGTCCCCTGCGGCACTGAGAGACAGGTCTCAACAACAAATTCACCTAGAAATTGCGTCGGTAACAAATGTGGTGGTGTCTGCATGTTCATGACCGGGAAAGAAGGATCCAAGGATCCTCCCTATCCCCCAGCAGGATTTCTGGCTCCCGAGGCGCACTGCATCCGGCTCTTCATCACCCACCCCCCCTAAGGATAACAAGCAGTGATTAGAAGCCCCCCGGGATCCATAGCCCGCTTCCTGATGACTTCGCCGCCTGCTTCCATTCTTCCTCTCCTCTGAGCTACCGACCATCATCCTCGGGACAATCAACATCCCCATTCAAAAACTCACCCCCTACCTCCCAAAGACTCCACCTAACCTCCTCCTTCAAGGATCAGGGACAATACATGGTCAATCCTACCCACAGGCAACTGGGAACCAAACTATGGACCTCAGTTGGTGAGAAGGTGTACCCTTAACCACTTCACTAACACCCCCTTCACAAATGGAAGAAACCACCTCCTCACGTTCTCACCTCCCCTTCCACCATGCAACTCCCCCCCCCCAGAGTGTCAATGATCATCACCAGAACAGTCCGCAATCATCCCAGCCCTACCACTCGTGCCGACCGATCTTACACACATGATCCCAGGCAGCTGTCCATGTCCTGACCTAGCCACCAAAACAATTGGTGACACACTACGCCGACAAGGACTGAAATCCTGCAGTGCCCGCAAGGTCCCTCTGCTCAAGAAAGCACATGTCCAGGCCCGTCTGAAGTCTGCCACTGAACATCTGAATGATGCAGAGGAGGACTGGTGGGAAGTGTGTTGTGGTCAGAGGAGACCAAAATCCAGCTCTTTGGCATCAACTCAACTCACCGTGTATGGAGGAGGAGGAACGCTGCCTATGACCCCAAGAACACCATCCCAACTGTGAAACGTGGTGGAATCATTCTGCTTTGGGGGTTTTTTCTACTAAGGGGACAGGACAACTGCACCACATCAAAGTAAAGAGGGACGGGGCAATGTACCATCAAATCTTGGGTGAGAACCTTCTTTCCTCTGCCAGGGCATTGAAAATGGGTGATGGGTGTTCCAGCATGACAATGACCCAAAACACACGGCCAAGGCAACAAAGGAGCGGCTCAAGAAAAGCACATTAAGGTCCTGGAGTGGCCTAGCCAGTCTCCAGACCTTCATCCGATTGAAAATCTGTGGAGGGAGCTGAAAGTTCGAGTTGCCAAACGTCAGCCACCAAACCTAATGACTTGGAGAGGATCTGCCAAGAGGAGTGGACCAAAATCCCTCCTGAGATGTGTGCGAACCTGGGGGCCAACTCCAGGAAACGTTTGACCTCTGTGATTGCCAACAAGGGATTGGCCACCAAGTACTAAGTCATGTTTTGTGAAGGGGATCAAATCCTTCTTTCCCTCATGAACATGCAGATCCATCATCATTTGTTAGACGCATTTCTGCTGAATTTGTTGTTGTATTCTGTCTCTCAGTGTTACACCGAACATTCCATTGTTAGAGACCGATCATTTCTGTGTGAGGGGCGAACATTCCATTGTTAGACCGATCCTGTGTGATCGAACATTTCCATTGTTAGACCGATCATTTCTGTGTGAGGGGGGCGAACATTCAACATCAGCAGGGGAGCAAATACACATTTCCTTCACTGTATGTACGGTAGGTCTGTTTTATTTCCCCGCGATCATGTGACCAGGCATTCCTCATGTGTGTTCTGTAGTGTAATGACAGGTACACTTTTCTGCGGAGTGAACTAGAACACAAGACCACAGATGCATGTATTGTGAAAAATATACGGTATTTAATGTATTCCGACAGATATATAACAATTCATTCATCACATCCAATCTGGGACGAGCTATATACATAAAAATGGTCAATTCATACAGTTTAAAAGTCTATATTATTCCACATAAAGATACATTTCATTACTATCTACAAATATCGAGAGACGAACATCTCCTGTGCAAAACGTGGCATCTCTGTCAGATAAGTGGCCTCTTCCTGGTCCAGCATCAATCAGTGGTCTGCAGGTAACTGAATGCGGGAGTCGGTTCGATCGGAGAGAGCGCCTCCTATAGGTCGAAGTCCTGCAGATCGCCCCAGCTGGGGCCAAACTTCACCTTTACCTTCAGAGTGACCGATAACTTCACTGCGTTTTCCATCTCACACTTAATGATCTGCGCCACCTGCAGGTGAGAAATGACGTCAATATCTGACGGGCCACAGCTCTGTGAAGTACGCTCCAAAAAAATGGGGGGAAATATCAGTGCGTCTTACGGAGCGAATATGGAGCGGCCGGCCCCGGTATACTCACCGCCGCCGTGTTAGAATACCGGGCCGCCCCGCTCAACTCTTCTGTGCAGCAGAACCTGCTGCTCGGTCCAGCGGTGTCCTCAACGTCTTCTCTCCCGGGGCCGGCATCTTTAGTGTGGGCACCCGGCTATGACAGCTTGCGGCTTCACAGCCAGGTGCCCACTGAGCATGTGCGGGAAGTGCTGCACTTTGTGAATGGTCCCCTGTATTATGTCCGCAGTCTCTGGTCATCTCCTGTACTATGTCCGCAGTCTCCGGTCATCTCCTGTATTATGCCTGCAGTCTCCGATCATCTCCTGTATTGTGTCCGCAGTCTCTGGTCATCTCCTGTACTGTGTCCGCAGTCTCTGGTCATCTCCTACTATGTACCGTCTCCGCATCTCTGGTCATTATGCCTGCAGTCTCCGTCATCTCCTGTACTGTCCGCAGGTCATCTCCTGTATTGTGTCTGTGTACTGTGTCCGCAGTCTGGATCATCTCCTGTACTGTGTCCGCAGTCTCTGGTCATCTCCTGTACTGTGTCCGCAGTCTCTGGTCATCTCCTGTACTATGCCGCAGTCTCCGATCATCTCCTGTATTGTGTCCGCAGTCTCTGGTCATCTCCTGTACTGTCCGCAGTCTCTGATCATCTCCTGTACTGTGTCCGCAGTCTCTGGTCATCCCCTGTACTGTGTCCGCAGTCTCTGATCATCTCCTGTATTGTGTCCGCAGTCTCTGGTCATCTCCTGTACTGTGTCCGCAGTCTCTGGTCATCTCCTGTACTGTGTCCGCAGTCTCCGGTCATCTCCTGTATTGTGTCCGCAGTCTCTGGTCATCCCTGTACTGTGTCCGCAGTCTCTGATCATCTCCTGTATTGTGTCCGCAGTCTCTGGTCATCTCCTGTATTGTGTCCGCAGTCTCTGGTCATCTCCTGTACTATGTCCGCAGTCTCTGGTCATCTCCTGTACTATGTCCGCAGTCTCTGGTCATCTCCTGTACTGTGTCCGCAGTCTCTGGTCATCTCCTGTACCGTGTCCGCAGTCTCTGGTCATCTCCTGTACTATGTCCGCAGTCTCTGGTCATCTCCTGTATTATGTCTGCAGTCCATTGGTCCAGAATATTTTTTTTCTTGTTTTTCCTCCTCTAAAACCTAGGTGCGTCTTATGGAGTGAAAAATACGGTATATGGCTTTGTTCACACATGCGTGCCCCGTGCCAGGTTTTTGCATGGGGATGCACAGGTGTTGTATGCATCCCCTCCATACAGTCTGTCCCAATGTTGATGCAGCGCCGCTCAGACACAGCCACTGATGACTTCCATGCGGGTGCAGGTGTGTTTCCGTGAACTCGTTCAGGTCTGTGCACGGATGTCATATTGGGAGCAGTGGCTGTGTCCATACAGGACTCGTGTCCCAGAACCTGAATTTCGTTCAGTGTGTGGCTGGCCCTGCTAGACAGAAGTTGATCGAATGATTGACTTCTGTTTAAGGGACAATGCTGGTAAACGTTTATCAATCAGAGGCTGCAGTCTATTGGTCTATGGGAGCTGCCATCAGAATACAATGTCCCAGCAGGGGGATTCCTCCATAGTTTGTGTGGATGGAGGAATTTGTTGCCCTCATTTGTTCAGCCTGCTGTTGAAAAAAAAAAAAAAAAAAAGCGTATGGCCAGCTTTAAAGCTGAATTGCAGATGTGGCAATATTCCAGCTTGGATCAATGTAGTTTTGCTGCACATTACGTGGTCAGTCCCCGTGGGAGCCGGAAATCACTGAAATAGGCACTCATACTACTACTACAGTGATTGCCAGCAGCTTCCGGGACCCCATACTGAGCTCTGCTGCATAGTGAATGTAGGATGTCAGCTGCTCGGCATGGGTGCCTATTAGGGACACATCGCATTCCCTCAATGATTTATGATTTTATGATGTGGATAGGTGTGCCGATGATGTCACTATATCCACACCGTCCAATCAGAGAATGCCTTGCATTTATTTATTGGACGATTAGTGCAGCAATACGGCTAACAATCACCTCCAGCATGTATTGAGAAAAGGTCAAGTATTCTCGTCCATGACGTCCATGCTGAGCGAGTGACCTCCTGTGTTCGCTAAGCAGCAGGGCAGCCATGGGACCTGGAAGCTAGTGGCAATCATTGTAGTAGCAGTGTCTACTATAGTAATTTCCAACTTCCACGGGGATACCCTTGGTATGGCACATACAGTCAGGGTCAATATTGCCCCCCGCATTTCTGTCCGATAACGCACCACTTCACCCAGAAAATTGTTGCAATTACAAATGTTTCGGCATTCTCGTGTTTATTTAGTTTGTTTGTATCGGTATGACACAAAAAAAGTGGAGAAACAAAAAGCCAAATCTGACACATTCCACACAGAATCCCAAAAATGGACTGGACAAAATTATTGGCACCCTCCATGTACTATTTGGTGGCACACCCCCCTTGGAAAAAAAAACTGAAATCAATGGCTTCCTGTCACCATCAATGAGTTTCTTCCACCTCTCTGCTGGAATTTTGGATCGCTCTTCTTCCACCAACTGCTCCGGGTCTCTCAGACTGCTGGTCTGAGATCTCTCCACAGGAGCTCTATGGGATGGAGATCTGGACTCATTGCTGGCCAGTTCAGTCCTCTCCAGCGCTTTGAAATCATTTCTGGGGGCTTTTTGACGTGTGCTTTGGGTCATTGTCCTGCTGGAAGACCCATGACCTCTGAGACCCAACTTTCTGACACCGGGCCCTACATTGCACCCCAGAATTCTCTGGTAGTCTTTAGATTTCATAATTCCATGCACACGGCCAAGACATCCAGTGCCTGAAGCAGCAAAGCAACTCCAAAACATCAGTGACCCCCCCTCCATGTGTGACTGGAGGGACTGTGACCCCCCCCCCCCCACCATGTGTGACTGGAGGGACTGTGTCCCCCCCACCATGTGTGACTGGAGGGACTGTGTCCCCCCCCCCCACCATGTGTGACTGGAGGGACTGGATTCTTTTCCTTAAAGGCCTAATTGCTTTTTCTAAAAACAGCAGAATGATGGGCTTTACAAAAAAGCTGCCATTTTGTTCCATCTGTCCACAGCACATTCTCCCAAACGATTTTGGCTTCCTCAGGTAAGTTTTGGCAAACTCCAATCTGACTTCCAATATGTTTCTGTGTCAGCAGTGGGGTCCTCCTGGGTCTCCTCCCATATTTCTGTGTCAGCAGTGGGGTCCTCCTGGGCCTCCTCCATATTTCTGTGTCAGCAGTGGGGTCCTCCTGGGTCTCCTACCATATTTCTGTGTCAGCAGTGGGGTCCTCCTGGGTCTCCCACTATATTTCTGTGTCAGCAGTGGGGTCCTCTTGGGTCTCCTTCCATATTTCGGTGTCAGCAGTGGGGTCCTCCTGGGTCTCCTACCAAATTTCTGTGTCAGCAGTGGGGGTCCTCCTCGGTCCTCCTACCATAGTGTCCCTTTTCATTCAAATGGCGGTGCATAGTCTGAGCGGACACAGGTGTACCCGGTGCCTGGAGGCCAGCTTGGATTTGTCTGGAAGTTGGTCGAGGTTCTCTAGCCACCATTCCAACAATCCTTTGTTGCAATCTTTGATCAATTTTTCTCTTTTTTCCACGTCCAGGGAGATTAGCTACAGCGCCATGGGCTGAAAATGTCTTGACAATGTTGCGCACAGTGGACACAGGAACATGAAGATCTCTGGAGATGGACTTGTAACCTTGTGATGGTCCATGCTTTTCCACAATGGTTGTTTCTTCAATCCTCAGACAATTCTTTGCTGCTCTTCCTCTCCTCCATGCTCCATGTGGCACACAGAGACACCCAACAGGAAGGTGGTGGCCATTTTTCACCATTTTACCTGGTTGCCGGTGTGATTTCTATATTGCCAGCTCCTGGTCATTCATACGGGGGAACATCACAGACTGGGAATGTAATGACTTCTTACAATTTTGAGAAGGTGCCAATAATTTTGTCCAGTCCATTTTTGGGGTTTTGCGTGGAATGGGTCAGATTTGCCTTTTTGTTTCTTCGCTTTTTTGTTGTCACCGATACAAACCAAAGAAATAAACACGAGAACGCCGAAACATTTGTCATTGCAACAATTTTCTGGGTGAAGTGGTGCGTTATCTGACAGAAATGTCAGGAAGCAGCTGGTAGAGTACAGAAAAGGCGCGATATGAGAATTATTTTTATAGATAGAGAAGACAATTACCTGAATGACATCATCCTCCGCCACTTCATACAGGAGCTCGTCGTGAAGCTGCAGGATGAAGAACGCTCCGCGGGATGGAGGCGAGAAATTTCCTCTCCTTTCTGTAGATATATATACAGACGAGAGACGATTAAACATCATCTACAAGGAGAGCTGGCGGACAGAACCGAAAAAATTGGTGTGAACAGTCAGTACCGGGTACTATAGGAGAGCCATCACTACGGGACGTCAGCACCGCCTGAATATTCTGTAATGAGGAATTATGAGAGGACATTGCCGGGTCTGAAGGGACACATCAGCCACATTCACCAAACTGCAAGTGCACTTAAAGCGGTTCTTTTTACCTTTCATTCATTAAAGTGGTTGTAAACCTCAGAAATGAAATATGAACAAAGCACACTCCTCTATAGTGTGTACTTGTCTCACTCCAGAGCACTGAGTGTCATTTCTGTCTGCTGTCTCCTTCCTCTGCTATCAGCATTAATCACTTCTAACAAGTTTTCCCGACACCAAGAGAAAAATGGTGACAGGGGAGGAACCTCCAGCAAATCGACAGCCTCAGTGCTGTGTGAAGGGGGGAGTGTCCCTTCCCTCCAATCAGCTCTCAGAACTCTCCTCATTGATATAACTTCAGCTCCCCGCCCCCATTTTTCAGAGCTGAGAGATCCTGCGTAAATTCTGCATTTTGAATGGATGCAGGGGACAGATACTGCAGATAAACAGGTACAACTTATGTAGGATTTATTTCATCCCTGTGTATCATCTGAGGCCAGTCACTTCACTGGGTATATATGAGGGATTATAACTACTGTAAGGTAAAAAAAAAAAAAAAACCTTCTGTGCTGCCCCCCTTACACTTGCCTGAATCCGATCCCAATCCAGAAATGTGCACAAAAGTGTCTCCCTCCTCACTGGTCAGATTGATAGCAATGCTGCTGTCAATCAAATGCTGTGACAAGGGGGCGGGGCCAAGCCATGCTCTTTTTGTCAATGGTGACTTGGGAGCCAGCACGCATGAGTGCCCCTATAGAAAGCAGCTTTCTATGGGGGCACTCGCCAAAGAGGAAGACCCTGTCAGAACACAATAGCTCGGCGGGGAGATCGCTGTACAAAAATCACATGGTCAGTAAAGTGACCTCCTCCCGTGCTCCTCAGTTTTTTTTATCGTTCAGCCCCCCCCCCCCCCCCCCCCCCGCAAAAAAAAAAAAAACTTCCAGGCTTTACAGTCCCCCTTCATGTACCTGGGTAATATGATTTACACTCCTGCACACACAAGGCTTCAAATGCCAGGAAGAGGCT